GCGTGGTGGCAGCCGCCCGCGGGCGGAAGGACCAAGCAAGAGGACTGATTACCGCAAGTGTACAGCATGTTGGTACGGCTGGAACTTCGCCTCGCGCGAGGAGTGCTACAAGTGCAGCCGCGCTCTTGGGCCGAAGGTCTGGGGACCGTGGTGCGACGACGGCGGCCAAGCGGGGGCCACGTGGCGTGCCCAGTCGTCGGACGTCCGCAAGCCCCCTGGGGCGCGCGACCGCAGCGTCAGCCTGGCCCTCTCGGATGGCTCGGTGGCGAAGCCGGGGAAGCCAAACGTCCAGGAGCTGCTGGCGCAGCTCGCGGACTCGGTGGACCCAGGGCAGCGGGCGTCCTTCGAGCAACTCGGGGCCTCGCTCGTCCCTGCCGCGCCTCCCCAGACTCCGCGAGCCAAGCTCCTCTAGGAGTAAGCCTCCAGCGCCAGTATCCGACTGCGCAGGGCGGAGGCGGCCTACTACGAGGCAGTGCAGCGCGTGGTCGAGGCTGAGGAGTGGCTGCAGCAGTCCCGGGCCGAGTGCGACGACGCGGCCCTTGAGCTCCAGGAGGCCAAGCAGGGCCTCGACGCCTCGCTGGAGGCCACGCGCGCCAAGGCTGGCCTGCCTGCGGCCACATCGCCTCCCCCCGCCGCAGCCCCCCCTTTCGGGCGGGCCTCGAGCTCTCCGCGCTGTGCAAGGGCGAGGTGCCAGATCTGTGCGATGGCGACGCGTTCGACATGGGCGACCTGGACATCGAGCCTGGCGAGCGCGAGGCCTATTGGCAGTTCAAGGCCCAGCTCCAGGAGCAGCTCCGCACGGCGGTCCAGTCCCTCTTCGGTCCAGGGGCTCAGGAGCTCGAGCGGAATCGCCAGGAAGTCAAGGTCATGCAGGAGCGGCTCGCAACTAAGCGGCGGCGGCGCTCTCCTGCCGCGGGGGGGGGCACCGCGGGCGCGGCGGCAGCGGGCGGCCAGTCCAGCGCTGCTGGTGTCCTCGTTCCAGCGGGTGCACTTGGCGAGGGGATACCCCCGACGCGGGGTGGGCAGCCTCCTGCGGCGGCTGATGGGGTTGCTCCCGCTGCGGCCCGGCGGATTCGCCAGGAGGCAATCGCAAAGGCCCCGGCCCCGGCCGATGGGCGGCCAGCTGCTTGAAGGCCCCGCGGCGGCCGCGGCGACCGCCGACGTCGTCAATCCCGCCGGCGGCGGCAGGAGGGCTGGCAAGGCCACGCGCAGGGGGTGGCGCAAGTCCAAGGCCGCTCTGCGCGCCTCCGCTGGGGGCGTCGCCGACGCTGCTGGGACCGCGCCCAGGGTCGCCGCCGCGGCCCCCGGGGCCGCTGCTGGAGCTTCCGGGGCCGCATCTGGGGCCGCCGGCAGGGCCGCCGCCACCGCGTGGCCGCCGCCGCCGCCGACGCTGGGGGGGGGTCGCTGAGGCCGCCGGGTGGGGGGCTGGGAGGCCCGCCGCGGACCGTGTTTCCCCGGAAGAAAAACACGGTGTCAAGGGCCGCTCCCGGCCCCCTCTGGCGGGTCGACCGGGGCCGCCACTGAGGTTTCCGAGGCTCCCTCAGGGCCGTCCGCCGTGCTCGGGCCAGCCTACTCGAGGCAGATGGGCGTTGCGGCCGAGTCGCTCCACCAGTCCACCAGGTCCTCGTCAGGCAGGGCGACCTCTGGCGGGATATGGTGCAGGGCTTCGCCGAGGGTGATGACAGCAGTGGCAGATGCCCACCCAGGCTGGCGCAGTGCGACTGGGATGAGCCACCTGCGCGGAGCTCCAATGGGCCGCAGCTGCAGCTCCCCGCGCTGGCGGCGTGCGCGGCCGATCCAGGCCAAAATCTCCAGAGGCTTCTGGGGGCTGCGGGGTGCCCCGCGCCTCCGACGGCACACGCCGATCCAGGCCAAAATCTTCAGGGGCAGCTCCCCGCCGGCAGTGCCGCGGCCGCCCCGCTGGCTTGGGGCGCCGCTGGGAGAGCCGCGGACGCAATTAGCGTCAATGGAAATCTTCGCGCAAATCGGCCCGCCCCCCTCGCTGGGGCCGCTGGGGGCGCTGCCGGGGCCCCCGCTGGCGCTCCCGCCGTGGCCGCTGGGGCCGGCGCCAGCGCCGCCTGAACGGCGCCCAGGCGCGGTCGGAAACCGCCGAAGCCTCGCAGCCCGCGCTGCCACGTCCTGACGGTCAATGTCACAAGCTGGCCCAGCATGCCGGCGCAGCTCGAGGAGCGCCGGATCCCCGCGGACGTGGCGGCAGTCGTCATCCAGGAGCACCACCTCGACGACGCGCAGGTGGAGAGCGCGATGAAGGCCGCCCACCGCTGGGGATGGAAGTGCGACCTGCGCCCCGCTCGCCGTGCCGATCGCGGCGGGGCCGCGGGGGTGTCGGACTCCTGGCGCGGCCGTGGGTTGCATTTCGGCGCCTCGAGTTCCAGCGTGACTGGATCCACGCCCCCTTCTCCGCCAGGCAGGGCATCTGTCTCGCGGACCTCGGGTCGAAGGAGGGGCTGCTGCTGGCGCCCGTGCACCTCCGCGCGAGCCGCGAGCTCGACGACGTCAGCCCGCCATGCTGCTTCATCGTCGGCGGAGACTGGCAGATGCCCCCGTGCACGTTGGGCCAATCCTACTGGCTGCAGGCTGTTCGGGGAGTTGTCCGGGCGGCGTCGGAGCTCGATGCCGCTTGCATCGCCGGCAAGAGCGCGAGGGCCATCGATTTTTTCGTGACGAGTCGGTACCTCGCAGGCGGGAGGGCGCGGGTGATGGACGACCTGTCGGTGGCCACCCACAAGGGGGTGGTGTACGAACTGGGCGCGCCCTCCCTGCCCTTCACCGTGCAGACGATGCACATGGCCAAACCCTTTCCCGCCAACGCGGTGGTCGGCCCCCATCGGCCCCCCCCCGACCACGGGGCCCTGGTGGAGAGAGCTAGGCCGGAGCGAGCGGGTGGAGGCCCAGCGGCGTCGCAGCTCGGCCGACGATCGGTGTTTGCTGGGCGGTAAGTTCCAGGCATGGCTCCGCTTGTATGAGAACGAGCTCGTGGAGTACTGCGGCCTGCAGGACGCAGGCGATCAATGCCGTGGGCGCGAGCATGGAGTGAAGTGCGTGACTGCGACGCTGGACATGCGCAAGCGGCAGCGGGCGAGGTGCAGCGGCGCGCCCAGCCCCGCGGGCAGCCATTGGCAATGGCTCGCGGACCGTGCGCGAGAGTGGCGGCACCGCCGGGCAGCTCGAGGCGGAGTGCGTTGGGCGCGACCGCTCCGCGCGCTGCATGTCAGGCTGCTGCGTTTCAGGCCCGCGTCCAACGCCACCTCGAGGCCCGAGATGTGGGCGGCCTGGCGCGAGCTGGTCCGCCAGCTGGATTCCGCCAGCGAGCAGGGCCTGGACCGCCTGGAGGCCGACTTCCGTGCCTGCGCCCGCTGGGCTGCCGACGCGGCCGCGTGCCGACGGTGTCGCAATTTGATCGAGTGGTCGAGGGATGCGACCAGGCATGACGGCGTGAGGCAGGCGTTCAAGTGGTTGAAGCACCCAGAGCATCCTCTGAGTCCGGGGATGCATAGCCTTAAGCATCCCCGGGCCCGATGCTCAAGCTTTAACATCCGGCATACGCCAAACGCACGACCATTCACCGCATCAAACATCATCTTTCCAAGCAGAAATATACGCGCAATCGTGTACTTTACGGGCCGAACATGTACCATATGATCGAACACCAGTCATGAGCATACGCCCATGCGGTATAGTTTACACACATGTAATGTGGATTCTATATATATATATATATATATATATATAAATATTTATATACATATACATATGTTCGCACGTGCGTTCCATCGTTCGGACGTTCTTCCTGCGCGTGCATGCTGCGCTGCTCCTTTCCTTTGCTGCGGCTGTCGTTCGCGTGGGCTCGTCCATCAGTTTATGGCAGGTTGCTCTGGGTCCGCGGCCTGTGGGGGTGCCCGAATTTCTTTCCCTCCCCCTCGCCCTCGCCCTCCCCCCGTTTCCTTTCCACCCTTTCCTTGTCTCGGCGGCCCCTCTGCTCCGTCATCATTATCCCTTCTCCGTTCCCCCCCTCCACCCCCGCCGTTCCCCCCTTCACCTTGCCCCTCCTTCTTCTCGCTATTCTCACTTGTTCGTTCCAAGCATTACTGGCCATTGCCTTCATTGTTCCTTCCCTGCTCTTTCCCCCCTTTCACATCCCTGCCCCCTTTTCCTCCTCCTCCTCCTCCTCCTCCTCCTCTCGTTGGCCGTTCTGGCCGACTGGGGGGCGTTTGCAGCTCCTCCGCGGCTCCTGCTCCTCCTCCTCCTCCTCCTCCTCCTCCTCCTCCTCTCGTTGGCCGTTCTGGCCGATTGAGAGGCGTCTGCCGCTCCTCCGCCCACAATGTTTTCCTCGGCCGCGCGCCTTCGACCCCCCCCCCCCCCCCGGGGGCAACGTCAGAGGGGGATTGGCCCTGGGGGGAAAGCGTCGACCCCCAGTCGAGGATGTGTCGCCGAAAAGGGGCCTATATAGCCCAAGCCTGCGCAGGGGCGTGCTGCGTTGATATCGGGGGGCTATCGCAGATCTATCAGCGACGCATCGCCGATTCCAGGTCGATGCCCCCCCCCCCCCCCCCCCTCCGAGCTGATTACGCTCTGCCGTGGCCCCCCGTCCCCGCCCCCACAAGGGGGGGGAGGGGAAAACGAGAGGAGGGGGGGTGATTGGGAGGAGGAGGAGGAGGAGGAGGATGAGGAGGAGGGGGAGGAGGAGGAGGCGGATACATAGGAGGAAGAGGAGGACGATGAGGAGGAGGAGGAGGAGGAGGGAGGGGACAGAGTTGGCCTCAAAGGCGAAACGCATGGGCTTGGGGGGGGGGGGGGGGATGGCGGTGTGGTGGGTGTGGTGGTGGGTGGTTGTGGTGGTGGTGGTGGTGTTGGTGGTGGTGTGTGTGTGTGTGTGTGTTGTGGGGGGTCGAAAGCGGGCGGCGCGATTTCGAAGGGGCTCGATGTCCTTTGTCAGCGACATCCTAGATGGCCTCTGCTACGTGCCAGAGGAACGCCGCACGGCGGCCGAACGAACAAAGGTGAGACCATGAAAAGGGGGAAGGGGGGAATAATGGTTGGGAGATGGAGGGAGGGACTCGAAACACCGCAGAGGGTCCTCTTGGAGCCATCGTGAGCCGTCTTGCACGCTCTTACCATTCGGGTCCCTGCCTCCCTCCCAGGCCCAGGGTCCAGGGTAGAGGAATGTGGCGGTGAGGCAAGGGGAGGAGGATGGGATAGTGACCGCGTGCTCTGGAAGGTGCTGTTCCCTCTGCTGAAGGCCTGGCAGCTCGATGGCACCACGAAGGTCCAGGCCAAAGATTGCGAATACCACTTTGCTGTGCTCAAGGCTATCATGAATAACTTGAAAGGGAAGCAGGCTGAACGGTGAGAGGCCTCCTATAGATGTGTGTCCGAGTAGATGGGGTCGAAGGATCGTCGACGTCGGCGATGCATTGGCGACGTCGACCCGAAGCAAATCGGGCTCCACATCGAGCCACGTCGACGATGCATCGGCGATGCAGCGCGATTCTCCGACCCCATCTATTCCGACCCCATCTAGGAGGCCTAGAGGATGGGAAATATGAGAAAGATGCGGATGGATGGATGGAGGGAGGGAGGGAGTGAGAGGGCGGATGGAAGGAGGGAAGGAGAAACGAGGCTAGGAGGAAAGCGGAGGGCGGGCGAAAGGGGATGGGAGGTCAGAAGGAGGGGATAGGCAAACGGACGGGAGGGAATGGGTACAGAGGGGGAAGGAGGGGGAGGGGTACGAATCCAATGGCAGACCCAGGCTACAGTTGATGAGTATGCAAGCGCCGTCCACATCTATAACATGAGAATGGAAACGCCGTTCGACACAGGCACGCCCCAGCAGAAGGCTGGGTACCAAGAGAATGTGACGATCCAATGGGCCATTGCTGAGGGACAGGCCCTCCCGGGCCTTCGCGGCTCCAACATATGATGCGTTCCAAAAAAAACTTGCCTTCGAAGATCGAAGGAGTTGCCATCTCTTCCTCTGCGGAAGGCGACGGAAGGTCGGCGGAAGTAAAACGAGGCCGCCTCTGCGGGCGGAAGCCGGCGGAAGGCTGGCGGAAAGCGGCGGAAGTAAAAGATGCGTCCCCAAAAAATTGAAACGTGTTTGGGTTCAGGGTTTCCGAAGTCCCCCATATGGCTCCAGCCATTTCGCCTCCCCTCCTCCACCTCCCCCTCCACCTCCCCCCCTCTCCTCCACCTCCACCTCCCTTTCTCCACCTCCTCTCCTACGACTCGCCTCCCTTTCCTGCAGCCCCCCCCCCTCCACCACCACCCTCCCTCCCTCAACCTCTCGGCATTCCGTCGCTCGAAACGGTTCGACCCGCCCCCCGGAAGTCGTTCAAGTTTGACCAGGGCCCCCTGGGCCCAAGGGGGCCCCATCCAAACTAAATCCTCAATGTGGGTATTATCAAGCCCCCAAGGTGCTACATGACATGATGAGCTACCTGCACCGCCTCTCGCGCCACTCGACGGAGTCGAGGAGCCCCGCCATCGCCGAGCTCAAGTCGCTCTGCCCAGAACCAGGAGCGCCGCAGACGCGGCGGCGCTCCACCGACAGTCAGGCTACCCAATCCGAACCTCCTACTCTACTCAACTCAATCGCGCGCTGGTTGACGGCGCGCCGAAGGGGGTGGGGGAACGGGGGGAGCTACGCCAAAGGGGGGGGTGTTTTTAAGATGCCTTGACAGGGCTTCTTAAAAGCAAGCCCGCCCCCGTTCCCCCACCCCCTTCGGTGCGCCGCCGACCTTGACCACTGACCCCTTCTCTCTGCCCGTAGGAGGTCCACGAGGGCGCCCAGCGCTGCGGCCACATGGGACGAGGTGTCTCAGGAGAAGAAGACACACAGATCTTTCAGGACAACCTCCTCCTCCTCCTTCTCCTCCTCCTCCTCTTCCTCCTCCCCCGCCTCTTCCTCCTTTTCCTCCTCCTCCTCCTCCTCCTCCTCCTCCTCCTCCTTCTCGTCGTCCTCGTCCTCCCCTTCTCGTCGCCCTCCTCCTCGTCCCTTCTCATTCCCACTGTTGATCAGTCTGCTTGATAATGCGCACTCTTACCTCTCCCTCCTCTCCCTCTCCCTCTCCCTCTCATCCTGGCCTCGGTTGGTGCCCCCCACCACTCCCCCTATGCTCGCGAGCACTCTGGCTTCCCCATCCTCCTTTTCCTGCTGTTAATGCTCCTCCTCCTGATCCTCTTTCTCCTCAATCCCCTTCCCCCTCGTGTTTCTGCCGTTCATGCGCATTCCTCCTTGTCCTCACCCCTGCCCCCTCCTCGCCTCAGGGCGAGCAGAACACAGGCGCTGTGATCAGTGATGATGATGATGATGAGCCAGACCCAGAACAGAAAGCTGGCGTTGGTCTGAAATGGTGTCGGTCGGAGTCTCTCCAGGGCGCCCCGGTGCCCCATTAAAAGGAGGAGGAGGAAGAGGAGGAGGAGTGGGAGAAGGAAAAGGAGGAGAAAAAGGAGGAGGCTTCAGGGGGCCCAATAAGCGCGATAGATGGGCAGGAGAACGGGCGGAGGAAAGGAGGGCGATGGGGAGAAGCGGAGGAGGAGGATGAGGAAGGAGAGGATGGAGGACTAGAAGGAAGAGGAGGAGGAGGAGGAAAAGGAGGAGGTACATGAAGAGGGAAATAAGGAGGAATAGAAAGAGATAGGAAGAACAGCCGCGTGCGTAATTCACGGGTGCTCCTGGGGCGATACACATAGTAGAGGAGTAGCAAGGTATATGGAGGGAGGTCTGGATGTTGTCGGGGGAGGGACTGGAAGTTGAAGAGGAGGGAGGGGAAAGGAGGCGAGGAATTCCCGACTGGCATCTCTCGTAGGTACTGCAGCACGTGAAGGCCCTGATCTACGAGAGTCACCCTGAGGTGGATAAGGACTGTGGGCTGGGCAAAACATCCACACCTTTTCCCTCCTGAGCCTCCCGCGCTCGTCTTCTTCGTTCCTCCCTGCCCCCTCCTCTTGTCTCCTATTCCTCCTGCTTCCTGGTCGTCTCCCTTCTCCCTCCCCGCCAATTTCATGATCCCCCTCCCTCCCCCGTTCGACGGGTCGAGCTCGACGATGCGGGGCGCGGAAACGAAGCGACTCGAGGGGGTGGCGGTGCGGCGTGGCCCCTTCGAAAGGCCCTAGCCCCCTGCTTCTGCAACTGTGACTCTTCCCGCCCTCCCACATCTCCTCCTTCTTATTTATGTTCCCCACCATCTTGTGGTGTTGGGTCGTCGTTTTGAAAAGACAGCGCCCCGCGTGCCCTCCGCCCCCCCCCCTCCTCCGATCATCACCATCATCGCCATCATCACCATCATCACCATCGTCACCATCATCATCATCATCATCATCTCATCATCATCAGCAGCATCAACAACGGCAGCATCATCAGCATCACGATCAGCAGCATCATCATCAGCATCATCATTACCACCACCGTTAGCATCACCATCGTCATCATAATCACAGTCCCCACCATCCATCACCACCGTCGCCGTCACCATCACCATAACCGTCATCATCATCATCATCATCGCCATCATCATCATATATCTCCAGGTCTCCTGCGCGCAGCCCCCGCACCGCTACGCCGGCAAGCGCTGAAAACGCCGAAACCATGGGCAGATCTTCTGCCCTGGGGCTGCGCGCAGGAGATCTGCCCATGGCTTCTGCCTGATCTTCGCTCGTCGGCGTAGCGGTTTGGAGGCTGCGCGCAGGAGATCTGCCCATGGTTTCTGCGTTGTCAGCGCTTGTCCTTGGGATTTGGTAAATATGGCGGGAAGCGATCACCCCCCCAAAAAAATAAAAAAAAACCAACAGCACCATCATAACCGTCATCATCATCAGCAGCAACATCAGCATCATCAGCATCATCATCGTCATCATCACCATCATCACCAAATCAACAACAACATCATCAGTATGATCACTTTCACCATCGTCATCATGTGTCGTCATCGCCATCGTCATCATCACCAACAACATGGCCGCAAACGTCATCGCCACCAACATCGACATCATCATTGCCGTCATCATCAACATGTTCGCCACTCATGTCGGCGCACCTCTTATCTTGTCCGTGGCCCGCTAGGGGGCGCCACCCAAGGCCGCAGTGACAGGGTTCGCATGGCGGCCCCGCCCCAGCAATCCGGCACGCGTTTCGTGGGCCCATAGAGAGCTCCACCGAAGGCCCAAGTGGCAGGGTTTGCATGGTGGCCCCGCCCCATTTCGGCACACCCCGCACGCGTTTCGTGGCCCCATAGGGAGCTCCACCAAAAGGCTCCAGTGGCAGGGCTCACATGGCGGCCCCGCCCCAGTTCGGCACACCCTTCACACGTCTCATGGCCCCATGGGGGGCTCCATCGAAGGCCCAAGTGCCAGCGCTCGCATGCGCCCATCGCACCCATGTCGGCACGCCCCTCACGCGTTTCGTGGACCCATAGAGAGCTCCACAGAAGGCCCCGCCCCAGTGGCAGGGTTCGCATGGCGGCCCCGCCCCAGTTCAGCACACTCCTCACACGTCTCATGGTCCCATCGGGAGCTCCACCGAAGGCCCAAGTGCCAGCGTTCGCATGCGCCCGCGCGTTTCGTGGGCCCACAGGGCACTCCACCGATCGAACGTGGTGCATGCAACAACGGTGCCCACAACTACACATGGCCGTGAGGAGCACGCGCTGAAGCTAGCGCAGAGCTTCACTGACGGCAATGGGGTTCTCGACGCCAAGGTTGTGGACGATAGCTTGCGTGGAACAGTCGTGGAGGTGGACTCAGACTCGGACAACGGCGACGCGGCGCCTGAGCCAGGAGATATCCCCGCTCCGCGTCTGGTGCCGACTGCAGCGCAGCTGCTAGAGCGAGCTCGGGCGAAGCCCGCTGTGACGAGCCTGGGGGAGAAGCCCAAGAAGCCCGAGGGCGGTGGCGAGCCCAAGAAGGCCGAGGGCGGCGGCAAGCCCAAGAAGGCCCAGGGCGAGAACGATGAAGCGGGCACGTGGAACACTGCAGAGCCTCAGATATCGACGGGCTGGCTGACCACGAAGAAACGGCCCGCGACGAGCTCAGCAGACGAGCCGGCGACGAGCAAAGCCAAGGCACCATCCGATGACGAGACCAAGCTGGCTGAGGCGAGCGAGGCTGCGGCTGCAGCGGCAGCGCCTCCACCTCCGATCCTCCAGGCAAAGGCCAGGGGGAAGTCGGCGGCGCCCAAGGGCATAGGTGGTCGGGTCTTGCAGGACCCGCAGGAGTGGGCCGCGCGGCACAATCACGTGCTGGAGCTGATCCCGAAGGATGCGCACCCACCCCCGCATCCACGCGGCGAACGCAGCTATAGCGTGAACATCACGCTGGGGAAGTGGAACCAGATGGCACTGAGATCCAACGTGTACCCGCCTATACAGTGGAGGCGTTAGTAGTCCCAGGAGGCGCCAGACCCTGGAGGATTCCTTATCTAATGAGGGCGGCGGTGATATCCGTGGCCGATCCGCGACTGGAGTTTCACTGGCTTCGAGACCCTGGATTCCTTTTTAAATGTGCCTTATCCTGTAACCCGCGCCCCCTCTTTGCATTATGCCTTGAGCAGGGGGGGCAGAGGGAAAGAGGTGCATGGGGTAGATATATCGGATCCCCCAAAAGGCCCGCATCGAAGTTCATGTGCGAGCTCTCGCTTTCAGGGTGGTGAAGCCCGTCATGACGAAGGAAGAGGGCCCGCAGCTGCCGTGGGGCAGCGACATCGCCGAGGCCTGGGAGAAGATCAAGATCAAGGCGACCATGAAGCTCCAGGCCGAGAAGGCGGCCGCCATGCAGCCGAAGTAGCGCCAGTCCGAGGGGCGCCCCACCGTCATCTGAGGGTGATCCAGGAGAGCGCGAACGCTCGGACTGGAGCCCAGGTGCCTGCTCTATGCTTATACATAATCTGTTTCAGAGCATTTTGGACGTTAAGGGATTTGCTGGGGCCTCCAGAGGCCTCCTCCAGGACCATCTCCAGGGGCCTGCAGGGACGGCGCCCGGACTCGTGGACATCCCCTTTCCCAGGCCCCACCCTCACCCTTGACCCCCTTTTCCCATTGGTCCCTCGTGCCTTTCCTCCTCATCCTGCCCTTCTTCTCCCCCTCTCCTCCCACTTCTTCTCCGCTCCGTCCTTGCCCCCCCCTGTCCTGCCCTTCCTCTCCGTTGAACCCCCGTGCCTTTCCGCCCCTTCCTGAAGGAGAGATCCCCCGCCTGCGCGGGGCGAGTGCTCGAGCGAGGGTTCGGGCAGGCGCCCTTTTGACTTTTAAGGCTCAGCGGTCGTTTCGACAGACCTCGCAGCCGGCTTGGCGACGAGCGAGCTGGCCCGAGGAGGCTTGGCCCCGAGCTGCGAAAGGACCCCCATTCGAACATCCCACATGGACCTGCGCCGCAGCCAGGGGAGACTCGCGAGGTCCCAGCGGTGCCCAGGGGGGGGAGTTGCGCAGCCAGTGGCCGAGTCCGATCGGGCCGCCGCTCCGCGTCCGGACGAGAGAGTAGGCGAGCAATGACCATGCATGAATGAATAAATGAATGAATGAATGAGTGAATGAATGAATGACTGGACTCCGAAATCCGAAGATGAGGCCGTCGATGCCAACATCCCCATTGTTAGAGGATGTAAATGGCGAAACGCTCATTCGTTGCCGTGAACCTCTTAAGACAAAACCCCTGATTTCGCGACTTGTTGAGGATGTCCCGAACGAAACGGCCAATGCTTGAGACGGAACCTTTCCCTCTCTCTCTCTCTCTTTCGCGCTCTCTCTCTCTCTCTCTCTCTCTCTCTCTCTCTCTCTCTCTCTCTCTCTCTCTCTCTCTCTCTCTCTCTCTCTCTCTCTCTCTCTCTCTCTCTCTCTTTCTCTCTCTCTTTCTGTCCTCGTCTCTGCTTCTCTCTTCTCTCTCTCTCTCTGTCTCGTCTTGTCTCTGTCTCTGTCTCTGTCTCTGTCTCTGTCTCTGTCTCGTGTCTCTGTCTCTGTCTCTCTCTCTCTCCTCTCTCTCTCTCTCTCTCTCTCTTCTCTCTCCTCTCCCTCTCTCTCTCTCTCTCTATCTCTCCTCTCTCTCTCTCTCGCCTCTCTCTCTCTCTCTCTCTCTCTCTCTCTCTCTCTCTCTCTCGTCTCTCTCTCTCTCCTCTCTCTCTTGTTTTTTTTTTTTTTTTTTTTTTTTTTTTTTTTTTTTTTTTTTTTTCTCTCTCTCTCTCTCTCCCCCCCAAAAAAAAAAACACTCAGCGGCGCTATTGCGGCAGCTCTGGGCTCAGAGAAATGCCGATTCCAGGCGCCACTTCCATATTTACAATATCCATCGTATCCTCGCACAGATGGCCGCGATCAGCCCCGACAGCGACGACCCGATCGACGATTCATCCTCGAGCTCGAGTCCGATCCCTAAACGCATCGGGTCGAATCCGAACAACTTCAGCAACATTGTGATGGACAGACGCACGCTCCCTGCAAATATCATCCAGATCTTGAGCATGATTTTAATGTTGAGCGGAATGCCGCACATAATCCAGTGCGCAGAACTATTTGCTGGGCGCCAATCGATCTCTCGAGGCGCCCGCAGGGAAAGACGCGACCCCGCAATTTGCCCTTCCCCTGCCCTCTTCCCCTTCTCCTGCGATCCTACGCCGCTTCCTCCCCATTGTCCTCCTTTTCCTCCTCCTCCTCCTCCTCCTCCTCCTTCTCCTCTCCTCCTCCTCCTCATCCTCATCATCTTCATCATCTTCATCTTCCCCCTCCTTCCCCACCTCCTCACCTTTCCTGGGTCCTGGTTTCTGCGGCGGGGGGGCTTGCGGGATCTCTCTTTCCCTTAGGCATGAGAGGCCTTGGCTATGAAGCTGTGGGGCTGGACTTCTCCACCGTAAGTGCTTGGGATGACGTCGACGCTGCGCCTGGATTTTGCAAAGCGTTGCTGTGCGCGATGTCTCTCCGGGGAGATGGGCTTCTGTGGGCGGCGCCCCCATGCTCAAGTTGGGTATGGCTGTCCAGGGGATCGACCGGGCGAAGTTTATCTAGGCCCTTGGGCCAAACGGAACACCAGAATGTACGATTGGCCAATCAACAGGTGAGCCGAGTAACTTTCATCATACTGGTGGCTCTTGCATTGCGCAATGCACGATTTATAGTAGAGCAGCCTCAGTCGTCCTTACTCCCAGAGCACCCACGGTGGACAGCTATGATGACCCAGTTTGGCTCCAAGTTCATTTCGATCAATATTTCAACGCGGAATTTTGCTGGGTCGACCCTGAAACCTACTTGGCTGTTCAGTAATTGCGCCAGGATTGCGACGCTGTGCTTACGTGAGCCAATGATGGCTGATGATCCAAACAACGTGCAAACATATGATGATTTCTCAAGTGGCTGCTTCTGGGGGGGGCATTTGCTATAAACCTCCCCCCTCCAGCCCTCGCCAGGCCGACAAGAAACAGCAGAATCGCAACGTGCAGAGGAGGTGGGGAATGGGGGTGGAGCCAAGTAGCGGCGTAGAGGCGAACGATGACCAGTGCGGATGTCGCGAGAGCGAGGGGCAGGTTGATGAGAATCGGGACGGGGGTGGCGAGAGAGCGCGGCGAGAAAGGTAGTGAAGCATAAGGGGGAGGGGCCGAGAGGAGGGCCGATGAAATGGGCAACTCTGCATGCGCATTTATTCATAGGGCTGGGCTGCGGGGTGGCCCAGAGACCAACGAGGAAAAGGAGTCTCTGGAGGAGTGGGGGGCATGCTGTTGCATCTGCCAGGTGCTGCATTGCCTGGGGCGTTTCCCAGGAGGTGCGGGGGGAGTTGCACGAGAGGGGAGGGCAGGAGCATGGAGCGTGGTTGGCCTCACTGCAAAATATACAGACGTACAATTACAAAAGGGTGCTGCATCTTTCTCAAAGAAATGGGGAATCGTGTGAATGAGAATTTCACGGCGACAGCCGTGATTGAGAAGTTGCGGGCCCTGGACCAGATCGGCATCGGCTGGGGCGCGTGCAGGGATAGAAAGCATGGTTGGGATTGGAACACTCTTGGACAGACCGCCTTCGCCAAGAAGCGCCATGATTATGTTGAAGTGGGGGGGGGGGGGGGGGGCACAATGGGGCATGATCGGAAGGTGTCGGTAAATGACGGGATCCGGCAGGGCATCTGCGGGCGCGCCCTGCACTTTGACGGGGCGTGCTGGGGGCGCAAGGAACGACATTGTGTGTTGAGAGGGTGGGGTGGTTGCCATTGTCCTGTCATTCGTAGTTCTCCCATGTGGTATGCTTGCAGTGCTGTTCCAGGGGAGGGGAGGTTCGGAAGCCTGGCTGGTTCCCTTCGATCAACTCGTACGAGACTACCCATACTTTCAGGCGTGAGTCCGTCGCCCTGAAGCTGGCCAACGGGCAGTCGGTGTTTGACCATCTTGATAGCCGTGCCCAATCAGAAGTCGACTACCCCCGCATGGACTCGTCCATGCGCCCGCGCGTGTTCAAGATCTTGGCTACGACCATGAAGGCGCCGCCAAGGGGTGAGCACGGGGTCGAGGAGTGCATGGGGGGAAAGAAAGGGAGGGGGGGGAGAGGGGGGAGGGGGGCATGAGAGGGGGCCGTGTTAATGAGGAGGGGGTGGGGATGAACACGTGGCAAGCGATTGCGCTGCTTCACGCGATGTGGATTGTTGCGTATAATGGCCCCAGTGCTTTTCACGCGTGTCAGTGCATGTCGCGTCGACGCGCCAGTCTCGCACGGCGTTGAATTACGTTGGCCCGCCCTCGAAGCCGACCGCAGATCCTGAAGCGGGGGTACTTGGAGTATGTGGTGCCCATCAGTTTGCTGGCCTTCCCCCGGGCAGGCGCCCCGTGGGGGACATGCCCGCTCCTTCCAGTCCACGCGGGCCTCGTGGGGCGAGGATTGGGAGGATGAAGGGGGAAGAGGGGGCGGGGGGTGGGGGGGGGGGGGGTATGAGGAGGAGAGGTGTGGAGAGGAGAAGGAGAGAGAAGGAGGTCGCCTGGCGCGGAGGAAGGAGGAGGAGGAGGGGGATGAAAGAGGGGGGTAGGGGATCGGGGGGTGGGGGAACTGGGGATCGAGCGGTGCGGCTTGGAGGAGGGGTTTGCGAAAAAACAACCAGCTTTGAGCGAGGAGGTTGGGATTGGTGGGGCGGTGTGGATGGAGGAACGGCGAGGGTGGAGGAGAACGGGGGCGCGTGGGGGGATGGGGAGGGGGGAAGGGGGGGGGGATGACGAGGGCGGCTAGGTTGGCGATGACGGGATGGGCGGGGCAGCTTGCAAGGCGGACTGCCGCTCCCCAAGGTGGTCACGGAGGAGAGGCTTTTTGGAATGTTGGAGGAATACGAGGAGAAGGAGGAGGTGGCGCAAGCCAAGCGGGATCTGAAGAAAAAGGAAATTGCTGAGAAGCTGAAAGAGAAAGTTCAGAGCCACTTAGCCAAAGTTAGCAAAGCGAAAAAGAAAGCTGTTACTGAACAAAACATCTTGGCAGCCAAGGGCGTGATCAAACAGAAGAAGGTAAAACTCCCCGTCCTGAAGCAGGCCCGAGTGCCCTTGGCGCTCATTGAGTCCGACGAGCACACTGGGGTGCGAGCTGACTTCTTCAAACACCTCGAGGCGGGGCTTGCAACCATGCAGAAGATTGGGAAGGGCCACGAGAAGGTGATCGAAGCTGCCAAAGAGATCGCATTGTACATGGCTTGTGCAGGGTGGGGGCTTCTGTCGCAGGGCCTAGCATGCATGGCACGGCCAGTGAGGGGGGCGGGGGGGGGGAGTGGAGGGAGAGTGGGCCAGGGGGCGGGCAGTGAGGAGGGGGGAAAGGGCAGTGAGAAGAGGGGGGAGGGAGAGGCAG